TACCATACTGGGAAGATTTTTGTTTGGATTAAATATAGAAACTAGAGGTTGATGATCAGTAATCAGCGTGAATTTTCTTCCATAACAATACTGAAAAAATTTATTACATGCCCAAAAAATAGCAGTTGCTTCCTTATCAATTTGACTGTAGTTTTTTTCAGCTCTCGTTAGACTCCTTGAAGCAAAAACAATAGGACGTTCACCATCAGGAAAAATATGAGATAATACTGCACCCAAACCTTTAGGACTAGCATCGGTTGCCAAAATTAAAGGTAGTTTCAGATTATATGCGCAAAGAATCTGATCAGATGTTATTTCCTTTTTAATTAAATTAAAAGCCTGATCACAGATAGATGTCCATCGGAAAATAACATTCTTTTGTAAAAGTTTGTACAAAGGATGTATTTTTGAAGAAAGATCTTTCAGAAATCTTCCATAGTAAGTGACCAATCCTAACCAACTTTTTAACTCAGTGACATTTGTCGGTACTGGTGCATTCTTGACAGCTTTTATTTTGTCTTCAGTTTTCTCTAAACCCCTGCTTGAAATTTTATGACCCAAATATGTTATGGATTCTTCGAAGAATTTACATTTTTCTTGTTTAATATGAAGACCAGCTTCTTGTAGACATTGTAAAACAGTTCTTACTCTATTCACATTCTCTTGTAATGTAGCTCCTTGTATTTTGATATCATCTAAAAACACACAAACTCCGGGTATTTTATCCAATGGGTTTGAAATGTAACGTTGCCAAATAGCAGGAGCAACTTTGGTTCCAAACATCAATCTATGTACCTTATAATCTCCCTTTTCCGTAGTAATTGCTTGCATTCTTGAACTTTCTTCATCCATTGGCATATGTAAATAAGCTTCGCGAATATCCAAAGTAGTAAAAATTTTCCCTCCGTGCATTGTAGTCGCAAAAATATCTTCTATGTTTGGAATCGGAAATTTATCATTTATTAAAACTTTGTTCAATGTAATTTTGAAATCCGCGCAAAGTCTTACAGAACCGTCACTTTTCATAATTGGTACAACCGGTGTGCCCCATTCACTGTATTCCATTTTAGTTAACACTCCTATTTCTTCTAGTCTATCGATTTCTCTTTCCACTTTTTCCTTCAATGCATAGGGAACTTTTCGAGCAGGAACATAAATTGGTTTTGTATTGTTTGGTAAAAATAATTTAGCTTTATAATTTGAAATTTTTCCAAGACCTGGTTTAAAAACTTCTGGAAAATTATTTTTAAGTTCTTCTATAATTTTTAATTTCAAGAAATCTGGGATATTTTCATTTTGTAATTGACAAATTTCAGGTAAATCGACTTTAATTTTCTGCATCCATTCTCTCCCGAAAATAGGTTCAACTTTCCCTGGTAAAATATATAAATTTAGTAATTCAATTTGATTATTTAATTCAACCTGGAAAGTTGAATAGCCGATAGGTCGAATTATTTCTCCAGTGTAAGTTCTTAAAGGTAAAATTGTTTTTTGCAATGTTTTTTTTGAAAATTTTGCGTTAAACAAATCTTGTGAAATCGATGAAACTGCAGCGCCTGTATCATATTCAAATTTAATGGATTCTCCATCTAATTGAAGATTTAAAAGAATTTTGCCTGGTTTTTTATAAGCCTCAGGTAAGCAATTATTATCTAGTACGTTCATAAAAAATAATTCTTCATGCTGAAAGTTGTTTTCCATTTCCTCTGGTTCTTCTTCCACTTGATGAACATTTTCTCTCCTAGGAGTTCCCCTGCATGCCTTAAACACGTGACCATATTTTAGACATCCTGTACACTCTGGAATCTTTTTGTGCTAATTCCATAGTTAGTGCTGTATCAACGCAGTTTTTAAATTTATTATCTGGTTCTTTAAGTTGAATTAGTCTTTCAATTAAATTAGAATTTCGCAGACCACTAATGAACTGAAGACGTAAATGGGCATCAGACGTCGAAGCTTTGCAAGCATCACAGACAAACTTACAATTTGTCGTCATCTTTTTTAATTCAGTTACGTAATTTGCAATAGTTTCCCCTTCTTGTTGGACACGTTTTGTAAAACGGTTTTGCACTGCGATTATACTTGAAGAAGGATCAAGATGGTTTTGTAAAAGAGAAACCAAAGTCGTATAATCTTTAGATTTAGGATCATCGGGACATGTTAAAGAGTGAATAAGTTGTAGCGTTTTGGTACCCATCGTGTGAAGTAACCATTCTTTCTTTTTAGTATCAATATAGTCTGCGGAACCAGTGAAGTTCTTCATGGAAAAAAAATTATCTAACCTTTTTATGAACATCTCCCAACTTTCATTTTCTTCTGAGAATGGATCTATTGAAATGGATTCTTGAGTAATTGGAGTAGTATTTTGATTAACTTGTAGAGTCTTTGTAAGTGCAGCCATCAAAGTATTAAATTGTTCAGCATTCATTGTAAAAGGGTTTCTTCGTCCTCGTCGCCAATTTATTATGTATTTACTTTGATTATGGAAGTACAGTATTTGAATAGCAGATATGATAAGTTTACTGACTATTTAATATGAACTTTATTTTCACATACTCTGACATAATGACATACAACAATTAACTGGTAAAGGTGAACAATATAATTTAGTGCATAGTGGACACTACACTAGTGACATTTATAGATACTTATAAGTAGTTATAAGGCTTTGTCAATGAATACCCCGTATTTTGGACAATAAAGCATATTTGATTTGATTTGATTTGAGCTGATGTTATAATAGTTATTTACCTAACAAATGCGGAAAGTGATACTTTACTGCACGCAACGGCAGTTAAGGGCGGTAAAGGCACTTTCCGCATGTGTTAGGTACAAAATTTTACCTATGAGCATCTACATCTCTGAAAAAAGGCATTGATAAAATTAATTATTGAATCAGATTAATTAATGAAATTAGATTAGATATAGAAATGATCAAAAATCCATTTTCTGAAAAAGAGAGGATTTCTGATTAAAAATATTAAATTTTACTTTACCACACACTATGCGGTAAAGTAAAGTGCACTTTACCGCACACTTTGCTTTGTAGTCCACTTTACCGCATACTATGCTGTAAAGTTAACTTTACCGCATAGTGTGCGGTAAAGTGATACTTTCCATTTGCAAATACGTGCGGTAAAGTGCACTTTACCGCACGCTCGTAGGTAAAAATCATAACAAACCTAGTTAATGTAGTGTCACGGCTTTGGGTTGCCTGACAGAAATCTTGGGTTCGTTGTTCGATAACTCCTCTTTTCTCGATTAAGTAGAATTGACCAGATTAAAAGGAATCTGCAATTTTCTAGGGAATTCGATAGCGTAGCTTTCTTGACAGCCTGGCGACGCCACAGTAGTTTTAAGAACAGGTATTTTTCTAGAAGATCTTAAAATGCAAAATATGTCCAATTTTTAAATCTGGGAGCAGAGAACATATGAATAAATATAGACCAATTGCAGTAATAAGTGTCTTCTCAAAAATTATAGAGAAAATAATTAAAAAAAGAATGTTGTCTTTTCTTAATAAATATATAGTGGATCAGTTTCAGTATGGTCTCGTCAAACATAGCAGTACACTTGGTGCGACTGTAGACCTTGTTGACTATGTATCTAGGGCACTGGATGAGGGGCTTTTTGTGATTGCAGTTTTTGTTAATTTGAGAAAGGCCTTCGAGGTGGTTAGCACTGACATTTTATTGAGAAAGATGTATTGTATGGGATTTAGAGAGACATTATATAATATAGTTAAAACCTGTCTAGAGCGTAGAAGGCAGTACGTTAGGTTGGGTAATGTAAATAGTGACATGTTGATAAGTGAGTGCGGGGTACCTCAAGGTTCCGTCCTTGGTCCCCTTCCATATTCACTATACGTACTGAATTTGAAATTGGCTGGCATTGGAGCACAGTACTATACTTTTGTCGACGATACTGTCTTTAGTCTATAAGGAGGGTGAGGAGAGGGCACTAAACAATACAGTTAATGTAGATCTTAATCTCTATTTAAGTTGGCTATATAGTAATAAACTCAAAATAAACATAGATAAAACAAAATTCATAACATTTAAACAAAAAAACAAACAAATGCAAAATTTAAAAATTCGAATTAATAATCTAGATATTGAAGAGGTACAACACATAAAATACTTATGACTTTTAATTGATAATAAATTGAACTGGTCAGAACATATTGAATATAACTACAAAAAAATAATGCCAATGATACCAATAATAGGTATACAAATGTAGAAATTACCTCACTGATAAAACTAAACTCAGTATTTATAATGCCTTTTTCCTTTTTCACCTTAGATATTTATTGCCAGTCTGGGAAACATGCTGTAAAACTAGTTTCAACACAGTTCAAATACTTCAGAACAAAATTTTGAAAATATTATTTAATTATGATGCACTAACTAGCACAGACAAACTTTATAGCGAATTAAATATTTCTAGACTTGATGTAGGTAGTATTGGAGTTTGAACAAATTAAATTGATTTATAAAATATTAAACAAAACACAGAAATCTAATATTATAAGCTTTGCAATGATAAATGATGTACATTGTCACAATACTAGATATCAGAATAATATTTATCAAATAATCACACGAACAAATATAGGACTAAATAACCCTTTTTTACTAGCCAGCAAGTCATATAACAAGGTTCCAGAGAACATAAAAAATATAAATAATTTCCAACTGTTTGTTAAAAAAATCAAAATATTTTTAGGATATAGGATATGTATTGTTAAAATTAGGTAAATTTTCAAGTGTCCAACACTTATATACATATAATTTCAAGTATTCTCGAGAGCTATATAAGCACTGTTTAGAGAATTTATTGTGAAAAAATATTATATCAATTATTGTGAAATAAAGATATTAAAAAAAATAATAAAAATAATATCAGTAGGTATATCAGTAGACCAGTGGCTAAATCAGTAGATATACTGATAAATCAGTAAACCTGGCAACACTGTTTGATTGTAAAATCTATTATAGGCTTGAATACGATTGGAGCGACAAAAGAGACGCGCACGAAATAGATGCTTTGAATTGCTCACTAAACACCCGTTCAACAACTTTATTGTTCAAACCTGGATCGGTACTATTTCCCGATAACCAGTCCACTCCAGAATATTGGGAACACTTTACAAAAGAAACTCTTTTAGCTGGAGAAGCTACTCGTCAACGATCAGTAACTTTACGTGGCACTTTAGATGCTATTTTAATTAACGCTGCAAGAGATTTGAGAACTCAAGCTGATCGAGTTGAGCTAGCTTTGAGCAAGAAAATTGCTTGCACTGAAGAAGTTGTGAGGAGATTTGAAAACGAACTAAAACAAGTAAGAAAGTTGAGCTTTTAGTAGTTTCATATTATACATTTTGTTTGATAGATTCTCAGACAATTGGCTGATGTAGAAGACCTTATAAATACCATCAGGGCTGCTATTAGAAGAATGGATATTCCAATGAAGAAAGCTCAGACTAGATTAGATAATAGGCTTGCGAGGGCGCGCGTTGAAAATTGCAGAGATGCTCCACATTTTGGGTAAATAAATTGTTCAGTAATATTGAAAATACCAATAATTTCTTTAGGTTGATTGATGAAGTTAAATCGATTGCCGAAAACGTGGCCGCCCTTCAGGGTCAACTAGGGCAGGCTCAGAAATCTCAGGACGATATGATCACTGTCCGGAGCACATTGGAAAGGGAAATTATGCTTAAAAAGAAGACGTTGGAGATCGATCGGGATCGTATCAAGAGGATTAGATCGCATTATCCTTCTTCAACTGCTTTGACTGGATATTAAGGTTTGATTTAATATCACAGAAAATTGTTGGTGATTGAAACAAAGTCTTTCATGGAAATATACCTACAATTTTTTATTTGAAGTATTGATTTTTGCTTTATTTATGAGTCGGTACTGTCAGTCAATAGAGGAACTTGCGATTTATAAAATTATTAAGTTCAGTGGAAAATAATACTATAGGAAATTCCTGAAAAATACTAGATAGCAAAATTTAAAGTAAGCAAAAATTTAATCTGTATACCTATTTCAATTTCACTATGGAAAACTGCTGAAGGAAAAATTGTGAAACTTTTAGTATAAAAAGGGGAGAACTGGTAGTTATTATAATAAAATTTCAAAATTTTCCAGTGAAAACCAACCTCATAGGAAATTAATAAAAATCAACTTGCAAAATCCAAATTAGTTGAATTGCTGAAACATTGGCGACTAGTGGCTTATGTATTTTGGAACACAAAAATACTTACTTTTGGTGGTGTTTTAGGAAGAGCTTGAATGAAATTTCGATTTTTAGCTAAATATACTTTTGAAAACACACTCAAAAATCTATTCTAAGAGCTCACCCTAAGTAGGTAATACGAAGACATTTTATGTAGGTAATCTTATTCAGTATTTTAGTTGGATACACTCTTCAGACGATCAATGTTTATATTTTGTCGACCTTTCGATCTCTATGATATGATTATTATTATTTAAATTCAACGAGGATGATCTATTATAGTCTTGAGGATGATCTCATATAGAGATCGAAACGTCGATAAAATATATACATCTGATCGTCTGGAGAATGTTTTTTTTTACCTATATCCAACTAAAATATTGAATAAGATTATACACTGAGGTCATGAAAAGAATTCACATTTTATGTAATGTTCAGAAAATTGCAGGAAGATCTTGGTGGCCGACTCCGTTTTATAGCGCACCGTAGAATTTTCCAGATAATTTCGTTTCAAATGACAGAATTTCCTAATCGTCAGACAGTGTTTTATGATTGTGTACGATTTCTTAGATTCAAAAGTCTATGCCCAGAAAAATCCTCACTTCATTATTAGATATAAATTTTTAAGCTGAAAATGTCTTCTTTTAATACAAAGACGACGTGTTTAAGTTCTCCCTTATTATAGTTTCCAGATAGCTTGAACTTTGAAAATTCACACAGTAAATCTACTCAGCTAATTACTTTACGGTGGCTAAGCTGATGCCTCGTCTGCATCCCAGCGTTGAAATATTAAAGCCGGCATTAAGGAATTGCATTTTAATTAGGGCTTTAATTATTAAATTTTAAAGAGAAGCAACTCCCATGATAATCTAGTATACATATAGCTTGTAGCAGATTTTGTGATACAATTAATAATGCCAGTAAAAATGCAACTAGCAAAGTATCGGTACTTATTAATTTTTATGGATATCCTTTCCATGTGAATGCTCTATTTTGTCATTTTTAAAGCCGAGGAAAAGCAAATAAAAAAAAATTTATTCCCGATTTTATTATAGTTTTATGTGTATATAAGTATAAAATCGGAGAAATATATTGGGATATTAAATATTTTATTTTTCGTCCAATATTTTTGTAATGATGAGAAATTTTAGAGAAAACTTTTCTACTAATTATTGTAATGGAAATAAAAAATCTGCAAAAAGTACGTGTGGTCATAAGGAAAAAAAGGTTGAAGGAAATAAAGAAAAAGTAAGTATATTACAAGAAGAAAAAATAGGCAGGTATAACGGTATAACCTTAAAATCAAAATCTTGTCTTGTATTATAGCTTCTAGGTTCTGATTCACAAACTTCGTCGAAAGAATGTCTTGATACATAATCAGACGGATTTGTGACTCCTTGTTCATGTTCAATTTTAAAACCAAGGCTGGATCCTCAGTAACATCCTTTTAACTCATCTTGTCTTGTGTTATTCATAATTTTTACCAATAGAATATTATCGCTGTGTGTAATAGAAACTCAGAGATAATAAGTATGAAAATGTTGTACGCGTGGAAGTCATAAGTGGTCTCTCCCAACGGGAGACACCTGTAATTTGCCGTTGTAAACTGTAACTCTTTGCTTGTATATAATGTTATTGTTAAATTTAAACTAAGATGATCGTGGCCAAATTTCTCTTTGATCAAATGGGTGCCCACGGGACAAAAACTGTCAGTCATAGTCTTCCTATAACATCCAATGAAAATCAATTCTCAAGCGATGTTGTCATTTTTAAAACAAACAAGGACAATCAGACAAAACACTTCCCACCTAGCTAGTTAGTTTTAGAGTCTGTTCGCTCCTGAAATAGAACCTCTGGCTATTGTTGCCCATTGCCGACATCGGATAATAGACGAAAGTTTTGTTGCACACATACACAGCAAAAGTGCTATGGTAACTGAATCAAATGCCGAGTTTGCCTAGCAGCTTTCGAGCCCAGGAGGAAAGAGGCTTTTGTGTCTGAAAGAATTATAGTTATTTCTGGAGCTCAAGGAAATAAAGCTTTTGTTTATATTAGACAAATGATAATTTTAAACCACTGAAAACTAAGTTGGATTATTGTCTAAATACTTAATCAACTTTATATCGAAATATGACATGAAATATTTAGGCTTGAAGCGTGTCTAATTCAATTTTTGAAGTGTCTCAAACGATGTTCAATATTTTATAAATTAATACTACTGAAATCTTATATTAACATATTTTACATTTTTCAGCATCTTAAGGGCTTAATTTTCAGTTTCAACTGTTGACTTTTCAGACTAAAGTAATACCTAAATATCGTCTTATTTCTTGTACTTTGGAATCTTCAAAAACTTCAGAGTTTTGAAAAATTATTCAAAACATCTCAGTTTTCAGTGTCAGACTATAAGGATCGGCACAGCACTATATATTTATGCTTAGTTGAGTTACATTGAACTTTTTGAAATATTCAGAGTTGAAGGCTTCGCGTCTCCAGATTTTTCGGTGCTTTTCGAATTTCTAAAAACTCCAGATTCTAAATAAATCTTCAGTGCAATGTGTTGTGTCTTTAGAAGTCATAATTCTCAAAACCCTTCAACATCTTTAAAATATCGGAAAGTTAATTAGTAAACACAGCTATATAAAGTTGGAGTTCAAATTTACGTAACTACTCTACCTAATTAGGATATAATTTCTAAGTTTTTTTTCAAGTCACAATAAGGTAAAATTTAACTTAAATATAACGCATAGGAATTGTAAGCCGTAATTTTAGGAAGAACCGAAACTGCAGACGAAAAAAGTGAAAGGAATCAATAAAAAACAAATAGATAAAAAAAAAAATCATTTATCATTATACAAAGTAATCAATCTATCCGCTTCTCTGTATCCAGTCTCCATAGCACCATTGACAGTGGAAAATAAACATCGATGAGTGGCTTCTCCAGCAAAAAGTACCACTGGTTTACCATTATCACTAAGCAACGGTTTTGACAGATCTTCAGCACTAGCTTTCCGTTTTTCCATGTCAGAATTAACATATACATATGAACCTCTAAAGTGAGAATTACTACCCCATCTAGATCTATATAAAAAAAAAATCATTATTTGTATGTAGCATAGTTATAAATTTCACCTTAATATGCTGTCAGGTTCTGGTATGTCATACAGATGTCCAGCAAACTTCCTCAACATATACATAGCTCCTTTTATAACAATTTCGTCTGGCAAAAGCCCAACTAATTTGGCCGTAGGGCCATTAATCCAACCTAATAAAACATTAGGATGGCTATCGATGGCAATAAACGAAAACAAATTCTCGAGCCAAGATCTTCCATTGACTATTGGCCCGTGAGGGAATTCCTTGACCAATTCCTCTCTTTGATCTTCCGACCAAAGAAAACTGATATCTTTGATTGTATCTGGCCACCATTTGTTGGGGAATTTCAATAGGATTTTATTCACTGTGCCCATTGGTATGTTTTGGATTGAATTTATTTTATATTCGGGCAAAGCGGGGATGAACATTTTTTTGTATGTGTCTTTTAGGACATTTACTGAGACAGTAATGATGACATGATCGGCTTCATATATTGATCCATCAGAGCATTTGATTGTCGCTTGATCTTGGTTCCAAATTATTTTGTTTACTTCTTTGTTTAGTAATGTTTTGTCTTCTATGGGGAGTTGTTTTGAGGGGTCAGGGATTTTTTTCTGTAAAGAAAGTTTTGTTTATTTTTGATCGATAGATATTGAGGAAAAATGAATAAAAATTCCCTTCTGCATGCTTAGTATGATTAAAATTAAAGTCTATAGACTTTGAAGCTGCAAAATCATCGAAGCTGCATTGAAACTGTGCATCAATGTCATTTTGGGAAAAATGAAACTTTCAGAAAACAACATTTGAAGAATGTTCAATTTTTTTTTAGAGAAAATATATATGGGATTGGATTGAAATTTTTCAAATGAATAGAGAAAAGAGCTTTGCAGCTGCAAAACCATTAAAGCTGCATTAAAATTATTCAGAAGAGATTTAGAGAATTTAATTGGCTTTATTTCGAGCCTAATTACGTTGAGATTGGATTGAAATTAACACAGTTGTGAGGCAAAATGCGTATCAATGTCATTTTGGGAAAAATCAAATTTCCAGGAAACAACATTGAACGATCTTTTATTTTTTTTTAAGAGAAAATATTTATGGAATTGGATTGAAATTTTTCAAATGGATAGAGAAGAGATAGATATTTGGGGAAAAAATTTAAAAAAATAACTTTTGATTGCTCAGGATGATGGAAATCAAAGTCTATAGAGTTTGAAGCTTTGCAGCTGTGAAACTATTGAAGCTGCATTAAAATTACTCAGAGAAAATTTGTAGGGAATTTAATTGGCCTTATTTCGAGCCTAATTACGTTGAGATTGGATTGAAATTAACACAGTTGTGAGGCAAAATGCGTATCAATGTCATTTTGGGAAAAATCAAATTTCCAGGAAACAACATTGAAGGATCTTTTATTTTTTTTTAAGAGAAAATATTTATGGAATTGGATTGAAATTTTTCAAATGGATAGAGAAGAGATAGATATTTGGGGAAAAAATTTAAAAAAATAACTTTTGATTGCTCAGGATGATGGAAATCAAAGTCTATACAGTTTGAAGCTTTGCAGCTGTGAAACTATTGAAGCTGCATTAAAATTACTCAGAGAAAATTTGTAGGGAATTTAATTGGCCTTATTTCGAGCCTAATTACGTTGAGATTGGATTGAAATTAACACAGTTGTGAGGCAAAATGCGTATCAATGTCATTTTGGGAAAAATCAAATTTCCAGGAAACAACATTGAACGATCTTTTATTTTTTTTTAAGAGAAAATATTTATGGAATTGGATTGAAATTTTTCAAATGGATAGAGAAGAGATAGATATTTGGGGAAAAAATTTAAAAAAATAACTTTTGATTGCTCAGGATGATGGAAATCAAAGTCTATAGAGTTTGAAGCTTTGCAGCTGTGAAACTATTGAAGCTGCATTAAAATTACTCAGAGAAAATTTGTAGGGAATTTAATTGGCCTTATTTCGAGCCTAATTACGTTGAGATTGGATTGAAATTAACACAGTTGTGAGGCAAAATGCGTATCAATGTCATTTTGGGAAAAATCAAATTTCCAGGAAACAACATTGAAGGATCTTTTATTTTTTTTTAAGAGAAAATATTTATGGAATTGGATTGAAATTTTTCAAATGGATAGAGAAGAGATAGATATTTGGGGAAAAAATTTAAAAAAATAACTTTTGATTGCTCAGGATGATGGAAATCAAAGTCTATACAGTTTGAAGCTTTGCAGCTGTGAAACTATTGAAGCTGCATTAAAATTACTCAGAGAAAATTTGTAGGGAATTTAATTGGCCTTATTTCGAGCCTAATTACGTTGAGATTGGATTGAAATTAACACAGTTGTGAGGCAAAATGCGTATCAATGTCATTTTGGGAAAAATCAAATTTCCAGGAAACAACATTGAACGATCTTTTATTTTTTTTTAAGAGAAAATATTTATGGAATTGGATTGAAATTTTTCAAATGGATAGAGAAGAGATAGATATTTGGGGAAAAAATTTAAAAAAATAACTTTTGATTGCTCAGGATGATGGAAATCAAAGTCTATAGAGTTTGAAGCTTTGCAGCTGTGAAACTATTGAAGCTGCATTAAAATTACTCAGAGAAAATTTGTAGGGAATTTAATTGGCCTTATTTCGAGCCTAATTACGTTGAGATTGGATTGAAATTAACACAGTTGTGAGGCAAAATGCGTATCAATGTCATTTTGGGAAAAATCAAATTTCCAGGAAACAACATTGAAGGATCTTTTATTTTTTTTTAAGAGAAAATATTTATGGAATTGGATTGAAATTTTTCAAATGGATAGAGAAGAGATAGATATTTGGGGAAAAAATTTAAAAAAATAACTTTTGATTGCTCAGGATGATGGAAATCAAAGTCTATACAGTTTGAAGCTTTGCAGCTGTGAAACTATTGAAGCTGCATTAAAATTACTCAGAGAAAATTTGTAGGGAATTTAATTGGCCTTATTTCGAGCCTAATTACGTTGAGATTGGATTGAAATTAACACAGTTGTGAGGCAAAATGCGTATCAATGTCATTTTGGGAAAAATCAAATTTCCAGGAAACAACATTGAACGATCTTTTATTTTTTTTTAAGAGAAAATATTTATGGAATTGGATTGAAATTTTTCAAATGGATAGAGAAGAGATAGATATTTGGGGAAAAAATTTAAAAAAATAACTTTTGATTGCTCAGGATGATGGAAATCAAAGTCTATAGAGTTTGAAGCTTTGCAGCTGTGAAACTATTGAAGCTGCATTAAAATTACTCAGAGAAAATTTGTAGGGAATTTAATTGGCCTTATTTCGAGCCTAATTACGTTGAGATTGGATTGAAATTAACACAGTTGTGAGGCAAAATGCGTATCAATGTCATTTTGGGAAAAATCAAATTTCCAGGAAACAACATTGAAGGATCTTTTATTTTTTTTTAAGAGAAAATATTTATGGAATTGGATTGAAATTTTTCAAATGGATAGAGAAGAGATAGATATTTGGGGAAAAAATTTAAAAAAATAACTTTTGATTGCTCAGGATGATGGAAATCAAAGTCTATACAGTTTGAAGCTTTGCAGCTGTGAAACTATTGAAGCTGCATTAAAATTACTCAGAGAAAATTTGTAGGGAATTTAATTGGCCTTATTTCGAGCCTAATTACGTTGAGATTGGATTGAAATTAACACAGTTGTGAGGCAAAATGCGTATCAATGTCATTTTGGGAAAAATCAAATTTCCAGGAAACAACATTGAACGATCTTTTATTTTTTTTTAAGAGAAAATATTTATGGAATTGGATTGAAATTTTTCAAATGGATAGAGAAGAGATAGATATTTGGGGAAAAAATTTAAAAAAATAACTTTTGATTGCTCAGGATGATGGAAATCAAAGTCTATAGAGTTTGAAGCTTTGCAGCTGTGAAACTATTGAAGCTGCATTAAAATTACTCAGAGAAAATTTGTAGGGAATTTAATTGGCCTTATTTCGAGCCTAATTACGTTGAGATTGGATTGAAATTAACACAGTTGTGAGGCAAAATGCGTATCAATGTCATTTTGGGAAAAATCAAATTTCCAGGAAACAACATTGAAGGATCTTTTATTTTTTTTTAAGAGAAAATATTTATGGAATTGGATTGAAATTTTTCAAATGGATAGAGAAGAGATAGATATTTGGGGAAAAAATTTAAAAAAATAACTTTTGATTGCTCAGGATGATGGAAATCAAAGTCTATACAGTTTGAAGCTTTGCAGCTGTGAAACTATTGAAGCTGCATTAAAATTACTCAGAGAAAATTTGTAGGGAATTTAATTGGCCTTATTTCGAGCCTAATTACGTTGAGATTGGATTGAAATTAACACAGTTGTGAGGCAAAATGCGTATCAATGTCATTTTGGGAAAAATCAAATTTCCAGGAAACAACATTGAACGATCTTTTATTTTTTTTTAAGAGAAAATATTTATGGAATTGGATTGAAATTTTTCAAATGGATAGAGAAGAGATAGATATTTGGGGAAAAAATTTAAAAAAATAACTTTTGATTGCTCAGGATGATGGAAATCAAAGTCTATAGAGTTTGAAGCTTTGCAGCTGTGAAACTATTGAAGCTGCATTAAAATTACTCAGAGAAAATTTGTAGGGAATTTAATTGGCCTTATTTCGAGCCTAATTACGTTGAGATTGGATTGAAATTAACACAGTTGTGAGGCAAAATGCGTATCAATGTCATTTTGGGAAAAATCAAATTTCCAGGAAACAACATTGAAGGATCTTTTATTTTTTTTTAAGAGAAAATATTTATGGAATTGGATTGAAATTTTTCAAATGGATAGAGAAGAGATAGATATTTGGGGAAAAAATTTAAAAAAATAACTTTTGATTGCTCAGGATGATGGAAAACAAAGTCTATAGAGTTTGAAGCTTTGCAGCTGTGAAACTATTGAAGCTGCATTAAAATTACTTGGAGAGAATTTGTAGGGAATTTAATTGGCCTTATTTCGAGCCTAATTACGTTGAGATTGGATTGAAATTAACACAGTTGTGAGGCAAAATGCGTATCAATGTCATTTTGGGAAAAATCAATTTTCCAGGAAACAACATTGAAGGATCTTTTATTTTTTTTTTAAGAGAAAATATTTATGGAATTGGATTGAAATTTTTCAAATGGATAGAGAAGAGATAGATATTTGGGGAAAAAATTAAAAAAAAAAAACTTTTGATTGCTCAGGATGATGGAAATCAAAGTCTATACAGTTTGAAGCTTTGCAGCTGTGGAACTATTGAAGCTGCATTAAAATTACTTGGAGAGAATTTGTAGGGAATTTAATTGGCCTTATTTCGAGCCTAATTACGTTGAGATTGGATTGAAATTAACACAGTTGTGAGGCAAAATGCGTATCAATGTCATTTTGGGAAAAATCAATTTTCCAGGAAACAACATTGAAGGATCTTTTATTTTTTTTTTAAGAGAAAATATTTATGGAATTGGATTGAAATTTTTCAAATGGATAGAGAAGAGATAGATATTTGGGGAAAAAATTAAAAAAAAAAAACTTTTGATTGCTCAGGATGATGGAAATCAAAGTCTATACAGTTTGAAGCTTTGCAGCTGTGGAACTATTGAAGCTGCATTAAAATTACTTGGAGAAAATTTGTAGGGAATTTAATTGGCCTTATTTCGAGCCTAATTACGTTGAGATTGGATTGAAATTAACACAGTTGTGAGGCAAAATGCGTATCAATGTCATTTTGGGAAAAATCAAATTTCCAGGAAACAACATTGAAGGATCTTTTATTTTTTTTTAAGAGAAAATATTTATGGAATTGGATTGAAATTTTTCAAATGGATAGAGAAGAGATAGATATTTGGGGAAAAAATTTAAAAAAATAACTTTTGATTGCTCAGGATGATGGAAAACAAAGTCTATAGAGTTTGAAGCTTTGCAGCTGTGGAACTATTGAAGCTGCATTAAAATTACTTGGAGAAAATTTGTAGGGAATTTAATTGGCCTTATTTCGAGCCTAATTACGTTGAGATTGGATTGAAATTAACACAGTTGTGAGGCAAAATGCGTATCAATGTCATTTTGGGAAAAATCAATTTTCCAGGAAACAACATTGAAGGATCTTTTATTTTTTTTTTAAGAGAAAATATTTATGGAATTGGATTGAAATTTTTCAAATGGATAGAGAAGAGATAGATATTTGGGGAAAAAATTAAAAAAAAAAAACTTTTGATTGCTCAGGATGATGGAAATCAAAGTCTATACAGTTTGAAGCTTTGCAGCTGTGGAACTATTGAAGCTGCATTAAAATTACTTGGAGAGAATTTGTAGGGAATTTAATTGGCCTTATTTCGAGCCTAATTACGTTGAGATTGGATTGAAATTAACACAGTTGTGAGGCAAAATGCGTATCAATGTCATTTTGGGAAAAATCAAATTTCCAGGAAACAACATTGAAGGATCTTTTATTTTTTTTTAAGAGAAAATATTTATGGAATTGGATTGAAATTTTTCAAATGGATAGAGAAGAGATAGATATTTGGGGAAAAAAATTAAAAAAAAAACTTTTGATTGCTCAGGATGATGGAAATCAAAGTCTATAGAGTTTGAAGCTTTGCAGCTGTGGAACTATTGAAGCTGCATTAAAATTACTTGGAGAAAATTTGTAGGGAATTTAATTGGCCTTATTTCGAGCCTAATTACGTTAAGATCGGATTGAAATTAACAGAGTAGTTATGAGACAAAATGTGTATCAATGTCATTTTGGAAGAAAAACGAAGAAAAAAGTCCATACAATTAAACACGACAAAGCTCAGAGAAACCAGCGAAACCAAGAAAAAAAAAAAAGATATTAAAGATGGAAAAATCGAAGATCAAGAAAAAATCAATTGAAAAAAAACACAAAAATCTCGGAGATAAAGAAAACACAAATCAATGAACAGTTGCGAAATGGGAAATAAAGACTTTGTATACAACGGAGAAAAAAGCACAAAAAAAAAAGTTGGAAAGAAGGAAAGAGATTTTATCAATACAGAATAGGAAAACCATGTTGCCGACAAATAAATACTTACAGTCATAACATCAATAATAGTCTTATATCCCTTATTCCTCCACCCTAACATTTGGTCACCTTCGCAAGGCTTAAACACGTAATGACTCGTAGTGGACAGTTCGTCCCAATATTCTGCTGGATTTAGCAAAACCATAAACTTTTTAAACCATTCTTCAACCAAACTGGCTAAACTCAACTCATCTAGTTGTGAAAATTGCTCTTGAACCCTTTTGTTGTACCTTTCAAAGGAATCAATAATTAGCTTTTGATATTATTGAGAAGTTACAACTTACTCTGATGAAAAATAATCAGCAAAACTTCCTTTGTATTTGCTGGCAGTTACTTGATCGTCTTTTACACCCATAGCAATCGCAAATAGTTTATCAGTAATATCCTTATTGGCAAGTGTTCCGTCTAACAAGAAAAACATCATTGCTGGATCTTGAGGCAATTTTGAAGGACTTAAAAGGTCTAAATCATTAACCATTTCATATACGATGTTGCCTTTTTCTCCATGGACCTATAAAATTGTATGTATTTATTATTGTAAATATTAAGTAAGTAGGTACCCATTGTGCGCCAATATCCACAATTCTTCCTTCAAATTCAACCGAACATACTCGACCACCAACTCTATTTTCAGCTTCTAAAATAATTATATCACTAAACCCATTTTCTAGTAGTTTTGTAGCTGCAGCTATTCCAGAAACACCAGCACCCACTATTAGAATTTTCGGTTCCATAGTTTCGGAGAACGGAAATAAAGTGTTTTTGTAATCACATATCGACCTTTTTTAGTTGAACTCTGCTTATCAATTAATTCTGTTTTGTAATATTTTGTTGACTTATGACGATATAACAATGATAACGTGGTAGGTACTTGTATTCAGGAAGCAACAAAAAAAGACAATTATTTCAAGATTTATTTGTTTTATTTTTATCTATTAATACATTTCGTTTGCGTCTACGACATTACTAACGTTACTTTCCAGTCTTTTTTTCCTGTATAATTTTTTGCACAAAATGTCCACGGACCACATTACTATGGTGGCCGCTGTGAGACAATTCAGCAATACCACACAGTAAATGTAACTTCCTGTTTTTGTTCTTGTTACACCTAGAAAAGGAAGCCTAAATTATATCTCGTATAAGCGAAAGCATACCAACTCAGAGAAATAAGTTATGATAAGATAGGAATAAACGTATTGTGGCTTGTGGTGATTTAAGAGAAATTTTTACATGGTTTTTTTTTTGCTTCTAAGTGAGAAAAAAATCATAATTTTATTCCTGAGCCTGAGATCAATTCGCAGTTTGTTCTATTTGATAAAAAGACCCTACTCAATAAATGCTGCAAGTTGAAGTCCCTGTAGTTGCTTGAAGTATTTTTCCAGAGGCTTTTAAAGGTGATTTAACAAAAATTTTACATAGTTGATAGCCTGATATCAGTTTGTTCTGTTTGATAAAAAGACCCTATTTAATAGATTCTGAAAGTTTGAAGTCCCTTTGATTGCTTGAAGTATTTTTCAGAAGCTTCCAAAGGTGATTTAATAGAAATTTTACATAGTTGTTTAGCATCTAAGTGAGAAAAAAAATCGTAATTCCATTTCTGAGTTTGATGGAATCTATTCGCGGTTTGTTCTGTTTTTCAAATCCTGAAAGTTTGAAGTCCAACTGCAACGAGTTTGTATTGATGGGATTACACAATAGTCCTAGCTTATTGTTGGTTGGCATTTCCTGTAAACTTGTTGGTTGGTATGCTTTCGCTTATAATACATCCTGATTATGCAATTGCAGCATTTAATGATTGAGAATATAAAAATCCCTTACCGATCGCATGTCCTCCGATCAACGTTAACAAACTATTCGAAATAATTTGAATAGCTGAAGCTGAAGCCAGCCTTTCTTTAGGAACATAGCTGGGTATAACTAGAGACATGTAAACTACCCTAAGGCCTTTGATACAGCCCAGCATAAAGGCTATTATCAGGATTGTTGGATAATGACTAATATAGATTAATGCTGCAAACAAATTCATCAATTAAAAAAATATATATTTTTTCAATTATTACCAAATCTAGAAATAATAGCTCCCGCCAATACCAGAATAATCATGATTCTGGATGATTGATTGAAACAATCCCCAATATGGGGTGCCGAAAACCTAAATAAAATATCAGCAGCACCTAAAATTGACAAAAATGCTGCTATTTCCGATATGGATAAGGAGTATTCGAATAGGAGAAATGGTAGTAGGACGGTAAAGTTCATTTCAGATATGATTGCAAGAGAAATACCTTAAAAAAAACCTAATCATTGCATGAATTACCCTATCATCTAATATTTACCTATCATTATATTTACATATCTAAGATCGAAAAAAATATCCAAGCCAAATAGTTCAATCGTTTGATAAAACCATCGTTTATACCAAGGCAAGCTATTTATATTGAAACCTCTATTAATTTTGCGCTCTTCAAAATGAAATTTATCATCTAAACCTTTTTCACTCTTAGTTTTTACTTCCTTTTTAGCCTCAACTACAGGCTCATCATCAAAAATATCATAACAACTTTGCAAATTAATACTGTCTTCGCTCTTCCACCAAGTGGTTTTCGTTAAATATTTTGGAGACATTGGAGACCGTGGCTGTCCAACAGACTCCAAAGAGTACAAGCTACCACCCAGAGTAGAATCCATGCCCATAATAGCTGCATGCTCTTGCTCGTAACTAATCGAAATAATAGAATCTTTCCTCCTGAATTTCCTGTTGCTCAGAAATTCTTTAGGTGGAACTAGAAAATTCGATAAAAATATTAATAATTTAGGCAATGTTCACCTACACAGTTGATAGGGCCTAAGCCCAGGCTCTGGCATTATCAATTCATCTAAAGCTTCAGTTTCTAAATCATCTTCAACTTTCTTTTCAACAATCTCTTCATTTCTAATCACTTTGATTTTATGGTTTTTGACTGGCTGAAGTAAGCAAGCAGCAATATACCCGTGAGCAATAATACCTGCATTAGAGAATCTTTAATTAGGCATTACAAACAGGGGCGGATACAGGCCTTTTGAAAGGGGGGGCAGTTTATGTTAAAGTGAGCCAGATTGGGTTAGTTTTGGCAGCGCATTGTGATACGGTTTTTCGAAGGAATGGCCCATAAAAATATAGAACCAAATATATGGCATCCCATTTGAAAAAAGCGTTTGTACTTGAATAACTTATCACAATGTATTACTAGTTTGGTAAAGTAACATTACTAATTCCTGTTGAAAGGCAAATTGACAAAAAGTGGATAATCTTACAAATTCTGACTTTACATAATAAATTATTGTTCAAGTACAAACGAGTGGATTGTTGCGGAACTTATGGGTGGACCTCTGCGGGACGAGCGCAGCGAGTTCCGCAGCCATCCATTCATCAATATGTTGTTTTATTACGATACTGACCTGACTCAGTCAAATGTGAGTTATTCTCATTAGTTTAAAAACTACACGTTCCAGGTGAATGTCTTACTTGAATAGTTTAGCAGTATATTGGTGAGTAGATGGCTGCGGAACTCGCTGCGCTCGTCCCGTAGAGGTCCACCCGTAAGTTCTGCAACAATCCTCTTATTTGTACTTGAACAATAACTTATTATATAAAGTCAGAATTTGTAATATTATCCACTTTTTGTTAATTTGTCTTTCAACAGGAATTAGTAATATTACTTTACCAAACTAGTAATATATTGTGATAAGTTATTCAAGTGCAAATGAGTGAATTGTTGCAGAACCTATGGGTGGGTCTATATGTAGTTTAATTACGATACTAACGTTCACCCCAATTTTCCATTATCTACCTAATACCTACAGTTGGCATATTAGGTTTAGTTTACTGTAAAAATATGTTGAACACTAAAAGAAATAACTAGGACATGGAAAACGTTTTTATTTGTTGGAAATACCTAGGGGAATACTGAACAAAACTTGCTGCTTTTCAATTGGAAACAAAATTTAGTTTTTGGAAATGCTTTGGAAATATCTAGGAATATTTAGAAATACTTGGAACTACCGCGAAATATTGAAAATACTGTCCAAATTTGAGAAATATTCCTAGAAACTGGAAATCACTGTACGTTTTCTCGTGAGTGTTTGGAGATATTCCGATGAAAACAATTCAAGAGCTGGGAATAAACAAACATTAAGACAGAAAAAATTGAGAATTGGAAAGCAGAAATTTAATTTCGCGCGGAAAAGTTACGTTTAACATGGCGGCTTCCAGTGACGTCAACTATTCGTAAACTAAGGTTAAGGATAGTTTACACTGATCGTGGATACACGGTCCACACTTTCGTAGTTAACTCTTGAGTCGTGGAACGATTGGTTCACGATCAGCTCACATCACACCACGACTGATATTAAACCACCATAAACGGGTCTATAGAGGGAAGATTGTCAGACTGCGCTTTTGTGAATCCTGTATCAACCATGATGAACTAAAATCTGTTTTTTTTTTTTAAAGATAAAAGTCAAAATGACATTATGTTGGCAATACAATGTGAAATTGTCAATACTTTCAAATTTTTTATGTAGAAGAGGTTTGTGTTGCCAACATAGTTACTAAATTTTTGACTTGGGGAATTATCTTTAAAAAAAAAAACAGTCTTTATTTAAAACACAAATGTCACAATATGGCACTAAATACGGAAACACCACATATTATCTGTTCACAATCCGATGTCCCCAGGCAGAGCTGTCAGTCTTCAAGTAAATTACTTGGAAAATGTATTTCAATTACTTTTTAGTATTTGAAGTACTATAATTCAAATACTTTTGTTTTTGAATATTTCTACTTGATTCTGCAATTACTTTAAATAAAATATTTGTATTTGGTACTTGGATTTACAAAAAAAGTAATTCAAATACCCCAGAAAATAAAAGGTATTTGAAATACCTCAGAAAGTAATTCAAATACTTCAACAAATGTGAAATCAACATGTCCTACAGCAGATATGACCGACGATTTTTATGAACTGGATGGTTTCTCCACTCCTTTGGAGAGTCTTTAAAATAAAAAGAAAATTCGAACTGGAAATTCTTCAATATGCAGAGGATATCAGTATAGATATAAAATGCTTGGATAGGTTTCTTGTCATAAAAGAAGTTTTTCATAGGTACCTACAATACGTGTCTTCTGTCATCAGCCCCTGTAGAAAGACTTTTTAGTTTTGCAGAAATAGTGGACACACCTCAAAGGCCATAGCAATCCCACTGCACTTTATTTCTTAATCAACCTTTTCTGGATAAATTTTAAATCGTTAAATTGAAAGTAACTACAATCTGCAAGTGGAATCTTGGAATCTGGAATCTCTGTAGTACTTTTTTAGAGGTATTACAATATACAGGGTGTTCCTAAATATCATGTACAAACGGAAGGGGTGGATTCTTTGACTTATTTAATGACTAAAATTTCTAATGAACATAGGTCCGCAAACGCTTGGTTACCGATCTACAGGGTGTTGAAATTTCAATATTTTTTCAGTTTTTTCTTTATAGCTCCTGCAATTTTTGAGGAATTTAGCTCAAATTTGGATTATAGGTTAGGAACGCAATAGGCGCTGACTGATTGCACGTGTCAAACGTTTGCCAGAATTTACAGGGTGATGTTTTTTCTTGTTGTTCTCTTGTAGTTTTTTCGCATAACCGACCCTTATCGAGAAAACAATTAAGAGACAAATCTCTGTAATTTGCTACAGGGCCGGATTTAGGCACAGGCAACCGAGGCAACCGCTTAGGGCGCCATGCTCCACGATTATTAGGGGCGCCAAATTGCAAACAAATTTATTTCCAATAAACATTAAAAAAAAAAAAATGTTTCATGCCACAAGGATAATAGGGAAATAATAAAAGATCTGACAACATTGTCCGGTAATAGTTAATTTACGACTCACGTATCACCACTTCACCTATCACCGCTCATAAAGGCACTCCTTTCGATCATCTTTATCTCAAGACAAATTGAACGGACTTTCGTGGGAATTGAAAATAATAGGTCTGTTCCAACCGACATCCAGAACCGTTCTAGAACTGTAATTTCCATTCGATCAATTAATTTGTCAATTAGTGAAAAATTAGTAGGCAACTGGAAATTACCGTTCTAGAACGGTTCTGGATGTTGGTTGGAACAGACCTGTTATAACCTTCAACCATAGAACACACTCGGTGGTTATAACATGTTCGATGGTGTAGATCATAGGTCTGTTCTGATAAAAATCACAACCCAGTCACAGAGTTTCTGATTGGTGGATGCAAATCACCAACAACCAGTTTTCTGAAGATTTTCAACCAATGAAATTCGCTCTGACTGGTTGCTGATTTCTGTGAAAACAGACCTATTAACGAACTCATCTCTGATTTTGCAAGACGTGAAGCCAAACGGGTTCATTTTTAGTGTGTTGAGACCAGTGTTGCCAGATGAAAAAAATAAAAAATGGTATCTGTCATTCAAAAAATACACACAAAAAATCGTATCTCTAATAAAAGGGAAATGGGGGGGGGCTATTCTATTGTTATACATATTTTATTATTTTCATTTCTGGAGGTCTGTTGCAACCCGTCTCAAGAACCATTTCGAAACCACTCTGTAGGTATACGAAATTCGGATTCCATGCACAAAGTTTTGCACAAAATCGTGACAGGTGCAGTTCCCTGCTGAGTGCTGTGTTGAAACAAAGCTTATGCTTAGCCCACGAGTCTATGTAGAATAATGACGTCATGAGTTTAGCTGGAATGAAAACAGTAAGGCTAAGTTCGGTTTTACACTCAGTAAACTCTGAACCTAAAATACTATAGAGGATTTTAGGCGTATGACCGATCGGCTAAACTTGATAAACAATGAATTATTTAAACGTTATTTGTTAACGAATTGGTCTTGAATGACGTAAAATCTGTTGCTCAAAGTTACCGACTAGTCAATCGCTTTAAAACCTCTAATGTTTTATTGAATGGTATATATGCAAAAATGGTATTCTCAAAATTTTTGCAGGTATCACGGAAGAAAAAATGGTATAAATACCATTTAAATGGTATATCTGGCAACGCTGGTTGAGACATCATAGGTACCTATCAGACCGAATATCATTGGTTGTAAACTATCAGAAAACTGGTTGCTGGCGATTTGTATCAATCAAAAACACTCTGGTTTGTGATTTCTGCGTGAGAACAGACTTCATGTAATAAGTAAATATATGATATAGGTAGTTATTTAAAAAAATGAAGTTATTTTTTTTTGTCTTATTCTCTTACTCTCTAAACCTAAACGATAGCCTTAAATTCATTGTTTATCCATTTTGAGAAGGGGGGCGCCAGAATTGAGCTTTGCCTCGGTACTTAGTAGTCTATTGGACCGGCCCTGTTGCTAGATGAAACTACAGTAACTCAATGAACCTTTTCTACCTACAGTGACGACAATAGAGGTCCCGCCGCCATATTTTTGCTCATTTTCAATAGGAATCTAGAATTAAGCCACATGCCTTCGCCGCCATATTCTTGCTCATTTTCAATATGAATACATTAAAATTTGAACAGCCTGTAGAGTGGTAATGAAGCGCTTACAGACCGATGTTTATTAGAAATTTTAGTCATAAAATAAACCAAAGAATCATCCCCTTCCGTTTGTACATGATGTTTAGGAACACCCTGTATATTTTCTGCTTTCAATACAATTTAAAAAAAAATTGAATAATTTGAATTTCTTTTTAGTGGGTACTTGAAGTACTTCTTAATATTTCAAATATTTATTTAAGTATTTGAAATACTTACAGAGTATTTGAATTATTTTACTTGAAAAAATCAAGTACTTATTTAAAGTACTTGAAACTTGAAGTACTTTTTAAATTGAAAGTATTTAGTATTTGTACTTGCAACATGAATTTCCCGTAATTGATACTTGCTATTTGAAATACTATTTATTAGTATTTGTGACAGCTCTGTCCCCAGGTAGAGGTAGGTACAGGTAAAATCCCCTTTCAATGCTATTTGATAGGGAAAGGTGATAAATTTACCTGCACCTGTGGACGTCGGATTGTGAACAGGATATAATAACCGCTTTCAATGCAGTCGAAGGTTCAAGCCTCGGTTCAAGCTAAGCGACTCTTTCTGACAGTTTACAGAGTGTCAGAGGCTCTTGTGACAAGACCTTAACGTTGTGTTTACAGACAGTTGAGGCGATTTTTAGCCTGAGCCGCTTTCGGGTGCAAAGTGGGAAGCTCCTAAAACACTTTACACCTGTCATACTCCATGCGTTTTACACTCGAACGCTTGAAACCGAACGGGGTCAAATTGTAAGATTATCCACTTTTTGTCAATTTGCCTTTCAACAGGAATTAGTAATGTTACTTTACCAAATTAGTTACATCATGTGACAAGTTATTCCAGTAAAAACGTGTTGCGGAACTTATGGGTGGACCTCTGCGGGACGAGCGCAGCGAGTTCCGCAGCCATCTTTTCATCAATATGTTGTTTAATTACGATACTAACTCACTCAAATGTGCGTTATTCTCATTAGTTTAAAGATTACACGTTTCAGGTGAATGTCTTACTTGAATAGTTCCACAGTATATTGGTGTTTAGATGGCTGCGGAACTCGCTGCGCTCGTCCCGCAGAGGTCCACCCATAAGTTCCGCAACAATCCTCTTATTTGTACTTGAACAATAACTTATTATATAAAGTCAGAATTTGTAAGATTGTCCACTTTTTATCAATTTGCCTTTCAACAGGAATTAGTAATGTTACTTTACCAAATTAGTAACATAATGTGACAAGTTATTCCAGTAAAAACGTGTGGATTGTTGCGGAACTTATGGGTGGACCTCTGCGGGACGAGCGCAGCGAGTTCCGCAGCCATCTTTTCATCAATATGTTGTTTAATTACGATACTAACTCACTCAAATGTGCGTTATTCTCATTAGTTTAAAGATTACACGTTTCAGGTGAATGTCTTACTTGAATAGTTCCACAGTATATTGGTGTTTAGATGGCTGCGGAACTCGCTGCGCTCGTCCCGCAGAGGTCCACCCATAAGTTCCGCAACAATCCTCTTATTTGTACTTGAACAATAACTTATTATATAAAGTCAGAATTTGTAAGATTGTCCACTTTTTATCAATTTGCCTTTCAACAGGAATTAGTAATGTTACTTTACCAAATTAGTAACATAATGTGACAAGTTATTCCAGTAAAAACGTGTGGATTGTTGCGGAACTTATGGGTGGACCTCTGCGGGACGAGCGCAGCGAGTTCCGCAGCCATCTTTTCATCAATATGTTGTTTAATTACGATACTAACTCACTCAAATGTGCGTTATTCTCATTAGTTTAAAGATTACACGTTTCAGGTGAATGTCTTACTTGAATAGTTCCACAGTATATTGGTGATTAGATGGCTGCGGAACTCGCTGCGCTCGTCCCGCAGAGGTCCACCCATAAGTTCCGCAACAATCCTCTTATTTGTACTTGAACAATAACTTATTATATAAAGTCAGAATTTGTAAGATTGTCCACTTTTTATCAATTTGCCTTTCAACAGGAATTAGTAATGTTACTTTACCAAATTAGTAACATAATGTGACAAGTTATTCCAGTAAAAACGTGTGGATTGTTGCGGAACTTATGGGTGGACCCAACCATCTATTCACCAATATGTTGTTCAGGTACAATACTAACCTGATTCACTCGGGTGAGAATTTTTTTCATTAGTTCAAAAACTACACGTCCCAGTTGAATGTCTTACTTGAACAGTTTAGCAGTATATTGGTGAGTAGAAGTCCGCCCATAAGTTCCGTAATAAACCACTTATTGGTACAGGGAGTGTTTTTTTAAATATTGACACCCCACCTACAGCCTTTACCTTCACAGCTAGAAGAAAGGTGTAAATACAAAAGTTATACAGTTTTGGCTGAATTTTTAGAAACCATGGTCAGAAATAAAATTTGAATGTCAGAAATGTGAAATTTTGCATGCTTCCAGCTTTTTTCAGCCCTATATTTAATTCTATATTCTTGAAGAGCACAATGCCTCGATCTATATTTGATTATTTTAAAAAGGGAGGGGCAGTTGCCCCCCCTGCCCCCCACTGTATTCGCCACTGATTACAAATAATTATTAATATTAATTTACCAGCCAAAATCAAAATCACACCGTCAGGATGGTAGTTTTGAATAAGCACATTAAGTATTTGAGGCATCAGAATTGGTCCCAAAGCTGTCAGCGTCATCGAAAGACCAAATGCTTTATTTCTGTTTTGATGAAAATACGATTTGATTGCTAAAGTGTAAGATGACATGTTTAAGCCTACACCGAATGCTGTAAAAAAGGTTGACGATAGTTGAATTAAAACAGCAGCCAAATACAATTATTTACCTGTTACTAGACCAACATTGAGCATGAATCCTAAATAGTTATGAATCCAAGAACTCATGCTCAATCCGAAAAACACGAGAGTCACGCCGGCCAAAGTGACTTTCCTGTATCCAAATCTTTGCAACAGGCTATTGTTTATTAAACCTGTAATTTGACCGACGCAAGTATGAACGTTCAAAGTGAACCACATTTGAGTGATTGTCATATCGATTTCGACCATTTTGTCTTTGAAGATTAGCACGACGTTTTGGATTAGAGGGACCATGATAAACTAGGATAAACAACTAATAATTTGCCTTATTATTTATACACAAACAAATAACTTACATTATTTAAAACACTAGCAAAAACTATAACCCATCCGTAGCCCCCGTCAGGAGGTTCCAAAATAGTTTCCATTTTCTATAGGAGGAAATTTTAGTCCGCATCAAATGCCATATAAATTCTTATCAGCTTGAAAAGTAGGTGCACAAACTCTAGATTGAACTGTTCGCGTTCGCAATTTATAAGGAACAAAATAAATATATTTTAATCATTTTTAGTGGTCATACAAATTAACGATATTTCAATTACATTGAAAACAGTAAACAGTTTATATTGTTGACAATACCGAGTGGCACTAAAAAATATGTAATTATTTTGTCAAGAGTAAATCATTCTATACAATATTCAATAGTTAATAATAATAAATTACTAGTCAATTTTTATCGTAGTAGGTATGTAATTTATTCGCATAATATACAATAGGATTATAAATTCTGTGTTTTGTAAAATAGATAATTTTCTTGAAGCTACACTCTAACATCGATGTTATTTTTTAAAAAAATCAAAAGCCAAGGAAGATAAACAAAGTCTAATGATAAGAGAATCGTTAAAAGATTATATATAAAAACAAAACTTATGATTTAAGTATCCGTGGTGATAACTATAAGGTAAATTAATTTAGATAAAATTGGATCAAAATATTAAATTTGTCTTTATTATATTTGAATTATTTCTTTTTCTTTCTCTTCTCTTTTTTCTTCTTATAATATACAGGGTGTTTCAGAAATGGTGTTACAAACTTCAAGGGCAGATAGTATTCATGAAAATAATTTAAAAAGTTCCTATGGATATAGGTTCGGAAACGCTTTGTTTCCAAGATACAGGGTGATACGTTTTTCAAAAAAAAATTGTTTTTTATTAATAGCTCAAAAGAGCTTTAGCCGATTTCAATGAAATTTTCACGGTTTATTTCAACCATTATTAGACATCTACTTGACCAATTAAATTTGATCCAGAATTTCCAGGGGCGTACCCAGCGACCAAGTCGGTTGTTTTTGTGCAGAAAAAAATATCACTCTGTAGTTTTTGTACGATTTTTATTGATTATTCAGATAGACACACTAAAAATACAACATTTTTGTTTCTTAAATTTTTCAATTATCTCGCCTCGTTTTCGCGGAAAAATTACAATAGGTAGGTACCATACCTCGGCACGTCTCTGGATTCCATAAGGAAAGATAAAAATTCATAGGAATTAAGGTACATCACCCATTCAGTGAGTAACAAGAACATAAATTCCATTTGAGGTTTTTTTTTTTGTTTTGTTTTCATAAATCAACAAACTCCGATAAATTTTTAATCAACTCCTAAGCATTTTTATTTTATCTTATGGAGTTCAGAGACATGCCGAGGTATGGTATTGTAATTTTTCCGCGAAAACAAAGCGATATAATTGAGAAATTTAAGAGACCAAAATGTTGTATTGCTATGAAATCCAGAAAAACGGCGTCCGCCAGGCTGTCAAGAATCGATGGCGGAAATACTAGAATCTAGCGAATTATTCTACTTTAATCTGGAAAATTAGATTATCGGGTGTATTCTAGATTTTACAGGAATAGATTTAGGGATATATAAGAAGGCCGGCATTGATTTGTAAGTAAGAAAGTTTGACTGTGATACGAGTTAAATAGTGATTATTGAGTTGTTGAGTTAGTTATTAAAGTAATTAGTGTCAGAGTGTATTGTTAAGTGGAATAAATTATTGCTTTGTTAATTGGACTTTGATTTTTGGAATAAACGAAACGAACGACGAACCCAAGATTTTTGTCAGCAGGCAACCCAAAGCCGCGACAGTATTTTTAGTGTGTCTATCTGAATAATCAATAAAAATCGTACAAAAACTACAGAGTGATATTTTTTTTCTGCACAAAAACAACCGACTTAGTCGCTGATGGGTACGCCCCTTGAAATTCTGGATCAAATCTAATTGGTCCAGTATAGATGTCTAATAATGGTTGAAATAAACCGTGAAAATTTCATTGAAATCGGCTAAAGTTCTTTTGGGCTATTAATAAAAAACTATTTTTTTTTTAAAACGTATCACCCTGTATCTTGGAAATAAAGCGTTTAAATTATTTTCATGAATACTATCTGCCCTTGAAGTTTGTAATACCATTTCTGAAACAGCCTGTATATGAAAGAAATCTCAAAATAGCCATAAAGACATAAGATAATTTATAAAATACCGCAAAAGATTGCATTTTTCCAAGTAAAGTGCAGCGGTAAAACCCAATTTTCCGGGTCAATTTATTTTCTCTTTTTCTTGACACAAATCTTAGAAGGCAGACAAGGTAAATCGACGTCAATCCGAAAACATCGGAGTAGATAAAAAGAACGGTAATGTTGTTAGCATAATGAGATACTTTACTTATAGAACTACCAAGTAGGTTTTTGAAAAAACATTGTTGAGAAAAATTATTATTATTATTATTATCATCGAAATAATTCAGTTTATTGAAGCCATTTCATATTCCAGTTCATATAAAGTGAAACCACTGGGGAATGTTTGGAATAATATGGAATACTAAAACGAGATTGTGCATGAGGGACCACTTTTTCACAATTTTTATTTTTGTTGTTCCAATTTTGAATTACGCTCTGCAATAATGCAATGCGAACTGTTATTTGAACTTGATAATTGGATTTTATAGTCAACTTCATACCTATGTGAATATTTTGTTGAAATTCAAAAAATATTTAGCTCAAATTCTTTACACGCAAAATTAATTAAAAATAATTTCATGGTCATCCCCTGTGTGGATAGTACCTAAGAAAAAAGATGCCGCAGGCATACAAAAATGGAGAATGGTCGTTGATTATCGAAAGATAAACGAAAAAACTATTGATGATAGATATCCATTACCTAATATTACGGATATATTAGACCGACTTGGTCGTAGTAATTATTTTACGACACTAGATCTAGCCTCTGGCTTTCATCAAGTCGAGATGCATGAAAATTCGATACCCAAAACAGCATTTAATGTTGAAAATGGTCATTACGAATTTAACAGAATGCTCTTTGGTTTGAAAAACGCCCTCGCGACATTCTAGAGAGTGATGGATAATGTATTACTAGGATTACAGAATAGAATATGTCTAGTATACATGGATGATATAATAATTTTTTCCACTTCACTCCATGAACACGTGAAAAATCTAAAGGAAGTATTTGAGAGACTCGAGAAGTTTAATTTGAAAATACAATTAGACAAATCAGAATTTTTACACAAGACAGTCGAATTCTTAGGACATGTAATTACACCAAATGGAATAAAACCGAATCCAAAGAAGATAATGGCAATAAAAAAATTCCCAATACCAAAGACGGTGAAGGAAATAAAATCATTTCTAGGATTAGTAGGTTATTACCGAAAATTCATAAAGAATTTTGCCAAATTGACCAAACCAATGACATCTTGTTTGAAAAAAGACAAAAAAATAATACACAATGCAGAATTTCTTAATAGTTTTGAAACTTGTAAAAATGTATTAATAAATGACCCAATATTACAACATCCTGACTTTAACAAAACTTTCTTATTGACAACCGATGCATCAAACTATGCAATTGGAGCCGTTTTATCTCAAGGTCCTGTCGGAGCTGATCTTCCCATTGCATACGCATCAAGAACTTTAAACCCAGCTGAATGTAATTATTCGACGATTGAAAAAGAACTTTTAGCAATCGTATGGGCAACAAAATATTTTCGACCTTATCTTTTTGGTAGAAAATTCACAATCTTGTCAGATCACAAACCTCTACAATGGCTATTTAATGTTAAAGAACCAAGTTCTAAACTAGTCAGATGGCGACTAAAACTATCTGAATTTGATTATGAGATCAAATACAAAAAAGGAACATTAAACATGAATGCAGACGCACTATCAAGAATTCCTGCAATACAACTTCATGCCATTCAAAAATCAGATCCAGATGCCAGATTAACATCTTCAGATGAAGAATTTCATAAAAAATTAGGATTAATGCTGAAAGATACACCATTATGTAATGACGAAATCATAGCAAAATACTTTACAGATTCTAAAGTATATCTTCCTAAACAAAGCAAGATAGCTAAAGAAAAAGAGATAACAATGTCTGAATCATCTCAATCAACAAAGACAGCATCAGAAAAAGAACCTGAAGAAGAACCTAAGAAAGTAAAACCCAAAATAAAGATATTATCACAACTAATAATACCTCCAAGAAAAGAGAAAAAAGAAATTCCCATAGAAATCGGAGAATCTTCGAAAACTCAAAAAAGTATCAGACAAATAACACCAACTAATCGTTCTTCAACAATTTCAGCCTTGTCTGAAAATGACCAAACAATACATACGTCTATGGAAAATCCAATATTAGGAGCTCCATATACTAAGAAACATGTAAATGTATTTGGAAATCGAATTGTATTTCGATATTCCAATAAAAACACAATTAAAAAAGAGATAATCAAACTATTTGGTAATAAAAAGAGAATAATATTCTTCTTACCAAATAATCCAACAACATCACAAATTACTAATTTAGTAAAGGAATACATGCCACCTGGTATTTATTGCCTTCATTTCCTAAATAAATCTTTAGAACCTATTGTGATACGAGCATTACAAGAATCGTTTAATTCGAATTCATTTACTTTGTACATCTCGAACTTTTTATTAGAAGACATCACAGAAGTTGATCTTCAATAAGAGAAAATTCAGCAATATCATGAGACTAAAACCTCACATAGAGGAATCACTGAAAATATTGCAGCCTTAAAGAAAAGATTCTATTGGCCCAATATCGAGAAAGACGTATAGAATTATGTCAAAGTATGCGAGATATGCAATAAAACCAAGCATGAACGTCAACCATACAAAATCATATTCAAACCAACACCCATTGGTATGAAACCTTTTGAACATATTTATATTGACACGTATATAATCAATAACCAGAAATTTCTGACCATTATTGATAGCTTTTCAAAATTTGGTCAAGCCTCTCCTGTAAATACGAAAACAGCTGTTGAGATATCATCACAGTTATTGAAATATTTTAGTGATCATGGAATACCTTAAAAAATCACATCAGATAATGGAGCAGAGTTCAAAAATGCTATAATGACAGATCTTTGTACATTATACAAAATTGAGTTTCATTACACAACTCCAAGAAACCCGAAC